GCTAAAAACATCAAAGAAATTCAGAAATTATTGCAATTATTATAAAGGGTGTTGGATTTATGGAAACATAAAATAATTTTAATACTTTTGGCTCAAAATGGTGCAGTTCTTGAAGATAAATAACTTTATTTTTCAAAATTCTTTCTGGAATGAACTACATACTTACATTAGGACTTTTTTCAGATCATAAAATTATTCCTTCGTAAGTAAAATTTATGTAAAATGTCCTTTGTTTAGTGCACAAGGAGGATATTATAAAACACGTTTACCTATATTATTTTTTTAGATACCTATATTTAGTAAATTTTAATTTAAAACACCTAGCGGAAAAGCAAATAAGTAAATGCACTGGTTCCATGACTATCTTGACTTTCATGACACAGTAGGTAACTAGAAAAAAATGAGATTCCAAAAAAACGACACATACCTATACGAAAACTGAAAATTTAGTTTACATCTTAGAATGCAACTGTAAATTGTTTTTTATCCTATATTTGTTTAATACTGCGAGAAAATTTTTAAAAATTTTGATGTTTACCAGTTTTCCTTAGATAGAAAAACAAAAGCTCGACACTTTTAAAGGATTTCTCCTATTTACCAGAAAGCTAGAGAAAAAGTACAGTTCAAATATGACGCTCTCGATTTTCGAAGAATGTAAAAAAATAGAGGAAACCTTTTAAAAAAAAATGAATAAAGCTATAGGGCGTCATAGAAAACAACTAAAGTTGAACAACACCTTCTACCTCTGAAACAAATGAAGATATCGAGTTGCGGTTTTCGCTAAAACTTTCCTCAAAATTATTATTTTTTTTCAAGAGATAGGAGAAGCCCCACGAGCTATCTAATTTGGCACATCGAAATTTCCCATAAACAAAGCATGGAAACCTCCGATATTATTCTAGTTTTATTGCAACGATATTCGATGAGATACGAAAAATAGGACATCCCTACGTCAAACAAGGAAGCAATTTCCAGGACAAATATTTTCCGAGCATCCTTCATGTCGAAGAGCATACGCGTATCGAATGTCGCACGTCCGGATCACAATTTTTGGAGTGATCCTTCAGGATGTCGAACCATTGCGCGGTTGCGCAAAGTGCTTGAATAAACGAACAGAATAAAGGGACCACTCCAGCCCTTATAATACACAAGCGCATAAAAACCTCCAAAGAAATCGGCACGATAAAAAAATCCGTATGAGGGGTTTTTAATGTGAGACTAGTTGTTATTCAACGCTTGAAAATTTTATTCATCTGGATTACTAAGGCGCAAGAGGTAGCCGATAGTGGAATATAGGTCGTTTCAAAACATCGCGGTTCGGCCCTTTGTTGGGAAACCACAATTGCACCTCCGACGCTTTGATCTCGCCGCCGGTTATTGTCGAGATGTTATAGCAGCAGGGGTGTCTTAAGAAACTGGATGAGCGCGTCTAAGTGGTGAAAGAGCTAGAAATATAAAGGGGGGACTGGTAGTGAAATAAATTTAGCCATCAAAAGGACATAAGTATACGACGATTTATAAAATAAAAGTTTATAAAAATAGAAAAAATATAATGCTCTTACTGAAAAATGCCATTTCCTAACACAGTGTCGATAAGGAGGATAGGATGCTACGAAAAAATACAGCTTATTTCGTATTACAAAGACATAGTATTTTTACAATGCAAAATCAAATTCTGTGAATTATTCTCGAATTATTTATCGATTTGTTTTTGTTTTTAATTAGTGCCAGAAATTATGAATTTTTAACAGGTTCTTATGGGAAATGCTTAACCCTTACAATCGAATTATGGGTGAAAAAATGCAAATGGTAAGTCGAAAAAATATAAATATTCACCTGAATCGTTAATTAATAGATGAGAGAAAAGAAAAAGTAGGTGGCCGCTCATTTTACAGCTAAATAAATCGTAAAACATAAAAAGTTCTGATTTGTCGTCCGTCAAGTAATAAACGCGAAGAAGTAACGGCAACAACCAATAGAATGTGAATAGGTGGCGGGGAATTTAAATAAACGTTTTGATACACAAATTAGTCATTAGAAATGGAGTACCTAAATTCAACCTGTTTTTATTTGTGTTATTTAATTTGGTAGAATAAAATTAAATGGGAAATTTTCAAATGAAGTAGATACCTATGCTTTTTTAAATCTTATTTTATTTATAACGTACGATAAACTTTAAATACAAGCTGTAGAAAATGTAGCAGCATATAAATAATGAAATATTTATACTTTGCATCATAGCACACATAACAATTTTATGCAATTTAACAAATTATGACATTATTAACATCATTTTTCATTTTAAAATTAACATTTCAATAATTTCAGTATATTTTTTAGAATAGTTTTGGCTGCAATAACATCATAATACTACATATATCAAATTGTATTATACTTTCATAAATACAATCGTTTTAAACCCTTGTCTTATAAAGGACATTTCTATTAACAGAAGTGCATCATAGTAGTATGTTACTTATGCATGTAACTAAATCATATTTAAACTTTTCCACGAAAATTTTCTAGATTAGCTATTATACGTAAAAGTTCTTTACAAAAAGACAGCTTTTTCCCTGCTTTTATTATTACTATTATTCTAGCGACTCAGTTCTTCATCCGACATTTTTTAGATTAAAGCAATCAGCTGTGCGAGCGATCACATATCATAATGTATACCTGACAAGGATTGCCAACTTACAAATAATAAACTCAGCATAATACTCGTTCGCTGTTGTCAAGTTTCTATTGCAACTTTTGGCGTTTATTTATGTATATTGGGTAAAAAATAATAATTGAGAAATGAAAATATATCATTTTAAGAATTTTAAACTTGATTTTATTCAATATCTACAAGCAAGTATCTCAGTTTACTTACTTTCTAGTGATAAAGAATATTTTTCTTTACATTGACAGCAATAGTAGTGTAATTTGTAGTTAGTGGCATATTGTACCTTGTATACGAGTATTTGTCTCTAAACTTTTTAAATCTGGTGCAAAGAAACGCACATAGATATTGTTACATACATAAAAAAATATTGCGTGTTAAGTTAAACATAAATTTTGTGTAAATATTTCAGCGTATACCTAGATAGATTTTTTTCGTCTACGATTCAACCATTATTTTTTAAACTTTTTTTTCAATCACCCTGTATGAAGCCTGCTGCGAAAATGATCATCTCAATTAACAGGCTTGAATAAGAAAAGTATTTCTATTGTTAGCACCCTGTATATCCAATGAGATGTTTATTAGATGACGGACGAGTGTTTATGCAGGTGTGTGTCCAATGATGCCACTCTGGTATGTGTTGCCATCATAGTTGTAAGATGAAAGCAATGTTTATATATTATGTAGGAAAAGGGATAAGGGATAGGCAGTCTGTAGAATGATTGTAAAGAGAGCAGACGTTTAATATTCAATAAATATTGTTTACAGTTTTATTTATATGTTCGTTTATTAATCAACCCTAAGGCATTACACTATCCTCGTTTCGATAGAATTTTGGGGTAAATGAGTCTAAGAAGGAATTTTATTTTCAAGAAGTAGTCTCAATGATCCTGAATGAAAATGAAAGGCGGATAATTTTTCCGAGAGGATCGAAAAACATTCGACATTTCAACCGTTTACACGACCGGGACAACCATGCAAGCAACGAAGTAGTCATTAGAGGTCTAAAAATACAGGACAAAGCGACTGACGTCCTTTAATCACAAACTGATCAATCGAATAAGTCGGATCAAAAATAAAACTTCGCAATATCCAGTTCTGTGTCGGCGAGTCCTTTGTGAGCTTAAGTTGAAAAGTCACGCATCAGATGTGTTCCTATTGAAAGTGCCTTTACGCGAGTTGCGTCGGTCCGTTTCTAAGCACGCCGGCCGAAATCAGTCAGTTGTTTTCTTTCGTCACCGTGGATTTGGGTCGCCGATTTATCTAGAGGGCGGTGCGTGTGGGAAGGTGCGCGTTCCCTTTGATCTCGCCGCCGCAAGTCGGTAGCGCTTTGAGGCAACGCGCCCACCTCTACTACACTACTACGGCTCGCTACTATAGGCGTTTTACTATAATGTACTACTCTCTTCCGTAAAATCAGTATTTATTGAAAAGGGAGCCGACAGAAGCGGTGCCGACGTTGGCGCATGCTGCACATTTTTGACGGTCGTCGCTGTGCCAATTTTGCGCTGGCACCCGTGTTGACATAGTTTTCGATGGTGGTGAAACGCCGAAGAGCTTGTTCTTGCTTCATAAATATTATCTACCGAATTTTTAAATATCTTCATTATTCATATTAGACAAGGCGAAAACCTCGCATTGGTGGGAGAAATTTTCCGACTCGATTTTTTTTGCATATTCAGATTCGTGAGATGTTCCTTAACATGAATCGACATGATGCCGGCCGGAAATCTGGTGCCCATTTGTTTAAACGAACTTTTTTTAAATAAATTGTAAAAATAGGTATTTTCACTCCGGAAACAAAACAGTTCCTATGCACTATGCCTCTAAAGTTGATAGTTTTAAAGTTATAAACAATTTAAGTTGCTAAAAATGCGAAAATGACGATATTCAACGGCCCATTTCCGGGTTAAAAATTGTTATTTTTGATGTTGCCAGATACCTAAATTAAAGTTTAAACATCCCCCTACAAAGATGCTGAAGAGTTTTTGGGACTCGCATTATTCTAAAGCCTTGTTTTTTAATTGTTAATAAAGCGCTATGAGCCGCGCGCGCGCCTCTCTCATACGCGGATTCGTTATTTCGTCTAGCGGCTTCAGCTTATGTTCTTTGAATTTAGCATTCTAAGTACTATTATTACTCATAAAATAATGTGAAAATTGATTATTTAAATTTCATAATTCATAATAATTTTATTTAATTAATTTAAAATTGTACGAATGGAGTGCAGAAAAAAAATAAAAGGGCAATAGTATCAAATACATTTGATTTTTATTTTAAAGCAACCTAAAATATAGTTATTTATGTACCTAGGGAATTATAAGGGCCTTAATTACCGATGGCAAAGTTTGCGTCCCGAGGGCGTCCCGCCCGAGGGACAGCAATTGCCTGAGGTTATTAAGGCTCATTAATTCCCGTGGTACATAGATAATTTTATTTCTGACCGATTTCAATAAAATATTGTTTATTTTTAAAACGGAAAAAATGTACCAATTTATTACCTTCCCAGTATATTTGAATCAGGTACCATTGATTATAAGAGTTTTGTTGTTGCTAGGTTGTTGCTATGTTACGTGTTTATAAACAGAATTGTTACTTGCTTATAAACAGTACTTTGTTATCAAGCTGTGTTTGCGTTAAAAACGTGTTTTCTACCCCAAATATAATGGAGCAGATTTTGAAAAAAGCTGAAAAAGCAAGAGAATCATTAATTCCATCGAAAAGTGAAGCCGTATACCAAAAAGAATACAAGATATATCTGGAGTGGCTGACACGGAATAATGTTATGCCAAAAGATGCCACTGAAACTGTATTACTGGCATATTTTCAAGAATTGGTAAGGAATATTCTATGTTTTTCGGTAGATTTGGTAGTAATTTTGTTTATTCGTTGCAGTCAGAAACGTATAGTCCGAATTCTTTATGGACTAAATGGTCAATGCTAAAATCGAAGGTGAATATACATGAGAAACGAGATATCGCCAAGTTCAATGAACTAGAGGCTTTTTTGAAACGGAAGAGTAAGAGTTATAAGCCGAAAAAGTCTGCTGTTTTATCTCCTAATGATGTTATCAGATTTCTAAAGAACGCTCCTAATGAAATTCATTTATTGCATAAGGTAATTTTTTTCTTATTTTCCTTTTTGTGTGTATTTATTTCCTTTTTTTGTTTTAGGTTGTTTTGATTATGGGTTATTTTGGAGGATGCAGAAGTCAGGAACTTTTGAATATGAAGATATCGGATATAGAGGACCGGGATTCCGTTATGGTAGTGAACGTACCGGAAAGTAAAACTGGTGTATCGAAGAAATTTACAATTGTGGATGAAAAAGAGTTCTCTGCTTTGCCTTTATTAAGACTTTATATGTC